TGTGTGTGTCTGTGTGTATGTGCGCACGTATGGGTGAGGGGTTATGTGTTCTGGTCGCAAAACAACCAGCAATCGTTTGTACTCTAAAATAGATAACTGTGTTTTGTGATGATTCATTCATGCCGATGATGTTGCCATTGCAGTGAAACCATCCTTGTCTGTGAACGTTAATGTGTGTGTGCGTGGTGGGCTGGTGGGCCGTCGACGATTGATGCCAAGAAATGCTGTTATTTTTCAGTATTAGTCAGTATTCATCCTGTTTTATTGTGTTATCATCATGTAATAGTCTCCTCTAGTTTCCTGTATAGGTTTCTTGGGACAGGATGTTTCCAGTGACTCAGCAAAGGTGGTTCGACCCAGCCACTGTGTGTGTGTGTGTTTGTAACTGATCTAATTGAGTGTCTGTCTGTCTGTGTGCACGATTATTTTTGCTCTGTGATATAGACTCAGAGTGTCTGCATGTATGGCCGTGTCTCCGTAATTACTATGCAGCATGCTAATCCCAACTTTAATTTTGGGGTAAAATTGAGGCATCAACTTTTATAATCATGTATCATAACACATTTCCTCTGATTTGCAACTTTGAGTTTCATTGGTAGAAGATGCCGTACATCAGTGTACGACTTCATTTGAGAGAAATATGAAATACTTCACAGTAGAAACGCAGTAATTATTTTATTAAAATTTAAATTGGGCGTAGAGTCCTACAGTGAAGTTAGACTCTCTGGTGACTTGAAAGATGTTTTTGGAGCCAGGGTACTTTATCATTCTGCTTGAGTTAAACTGAGCTAACTTGGCCCAGTTGAAAGGGCTCTACTGGTGTAATAAGATGTCTATGTTTTGTGTTTGCCATAGATTTAATGTGTGCATGGTTTTCTCCATTCTACTATTTCAACTAAATCAGCACAAGGATTTGCACCAAAACTAATAACTCTTAACTGAATGAAAATATCTTTGATACTTCCTAGAGCATAACCTAGGCACTGCTGCATGCTGGGAATCTTTAACCCCACTGTCTGGCCTGTCAGTGAATCAGCTTTTACCAGCTCAGCTAACATTGCTGAGTCACTGTTTGACATTTATGTCTTCCTATTGTCAAGCACATTGAATAAATGTTAAAGAAATAAAATTAAAGCTGCATGGTTGAGATCCCCGGAGCAGGAACACTGCTGTTCATAAACAGGCACCACTGACCAGCACAGGTATAAGATACAATTAGCCTAACTGTTTGGCCTGCCAATGAATCGACAGTTAGTTGCAGTGAGAGTGCTGAGTCACTCTTTGACATTTGCTTCCTACGACTCAGTCCTCACAGCCCACACTGACTCTACATAAATACAAGGTTTCTACATGAACTATAGAAAGTATTGTGGACTATAAAGAAATTAGATTAGTTGACAGTTCAAAAGGAAATGTCTTTACATTTCTATCTAACAGTTGATCAATATTAATAAACCATCTTGTGTCTCCTTTATAGTACAAAAATCATAATGAAGTTGAAACAGATATACCAGCCCTGAACAGAGTGCTGATGCTGCTGTAGTTTTAGACTCTCTAAAGCTTTAGACATTGACTAGTGTTGCAGTTAATCAAGCGGCTGCAGCATAAAGGTTTGATCAGATTTTAAACCACAAGATATAAATCTCAGTGGAGGAAGGAAAATAAATGAATGAGCTGTTATGTTTTATTAACCTCTACTTATGAAGAGCCACTGAGTAGATCATCGAATTCTCAACTGCTACAACAGTGGCGAGAGCAGTTATCGGTTGTTAACGTATTGCACTAAACACTGAACAGGTTGCTGCTGTTTCTGGGCAAAGCGCTGCAACCTTCACTGCACATAGCTATTATTAAGGGATAATGATGTGATACTTTTAATTAATCACTTAGGGGGAGTTGTCTTTTCTCCTGCCCTTTCTCTACTAGGAGGTCAGAGGTCAGGGTCAGCTGGAAAACAGCTGTCCTGGAGCTGGTTGTCTTTTTGCCCTTCAGCAGTGCATGTGTGATGACATTGAGGTCCTCCAGCTGGAACATGGATTGTCTTTAGGGATCTAGGTCCAGACTAAGACTGCAACTAATTTGATTAATTGATCAATCGCTTGGTCTTCAGAATGTCAGAAAAGAGTGAACAATGTCCAACACAATTTCCTAAAACCCAATGTGACAACATCAAATTGCTTGTTTTGTCCAAAATCCAAAGATATTCACTTTTTTTTATCACATACAACAAAGAAAGGAAATAAATCCTCACAATATAGATGCTGGAACAAGGGAATGTTTGGAAATATAGCTTGAAAAAATAGTAACAATCCATTGTCAGGATTTTTATGCTGATCAACTAATCTCAGCTCTTGTTCATACCTGCAAACAAAACAGGTACATTTATTTAGGACAAACGGCAGGTCAGTCCATCAGGTGATCCGACTTTATCCTATTAGTCTTTCACCATTAATTCAAGCACATTGGTGCTTACCGCAGTTATTAAATATGTAGAATTAATCAACTGCATGTTTTCAAATCACTAACTCTCAGCTACCCAAGAAGGTGCTTATTTGTTAAGCTGCAAGGATTTGGGATTGCGATGGAGACAATGAACCGCGCTCACTCTCAGATTAGCTGCAGGCTAGTTTAATACGTGGAGGGGAGGGGAGCGTCTGGGGAAACTGATCACATGATAGGGCAGACAATTCCATTTAGATGAAGTTCATTGATTGACATCATACTCATGGACACACACGGACAACATACACACACTTCCATCCAATTTAGTGTCTCTAAATGGCTTTACCACTGACCATTATAAAGCACCCTAAAGCCCTCATGACTCTCCCAGGACTACTTGACAGAGCCTGAGGTGCAGACCACTGTGATCATTGACATACTTCATTAGGTCGTCTTATTAAAGTATTAGCCTTCTTATGTCACCGGGTAAATGCCCGAATGGGGACATTAGATGGCTTTCCAATTACTGACCAGCTTGATTATGTAAATGCTGCTGGAGAGCAGAGCTTGAAATCGGCTTGAACCAGCTTCTCTTTCATACCAGCTGGACTTTGAGCGATCCTCTTGGGTTCAGTGAGATCCAGAAAGACCTGTTGTAACTTAAAAAAAATAGTTACTAATTTCAGCTAAGTCCATTGATCGGCTAATTCAGCTTTACGCCATTGGTTCTACTGCTGTCAGCAGTGCTTACTGCAAACCTGATGTGACGTTTCCTTTTTCTCCATACCTGTTTCACAAAGCAAATCTTCCGGTTTCCATTATCTGCTCTCCACAGGCCCTGCAGGGCAGTCAAGGCAGACTTCTAGTAAGAAAGTCATGGCTTTGATGCCAGTTTCCATCTTCAGCAATGTGTTTTTTGGGGGAACAGACACTGAGCCCCTACCTGTTCAGTTCAGATAAGAGCAGCAGCTAAATGCCTAAATGTAGATCAGAAACACTGGGGGTGTATTGCATTGTTAGATTGGTGGACTGAGAGAACATTATAAACCAATCCAGGAAGCTGGCATCATCATGCTGCTGGCTCGTTGCCTTGAGAAAACCTGTCTGCAAATTGGTGTAGTCTGTGTCCAAAATTAACTTTACTGGCTCATCCTTCAATTACAGGGAAAACTAAAATACCAGCTATGAAAAAGTTATCTTTGGTTTAGTAATGTTTCATTAATATATAGCCTACCAGTCAAAACATACCATATTTTGATGAAATGGTACATCTTACATGTGCCCCCCCCCCTAAAATATAAATTTTAGTCATCTCACAGTTGCTTTATGCTGCCAACCATTTCATTTAACATTAAGCTAATTCACTTTCAAAAGGTAGAAAAACAGTAGTCCCCAGGAGGTTTTTAGTCACACTAGCAGATGGCGATGTTAGTCTGTCAGTTCACTACTTCAGTAAAATATCTGTAATATCAGATTTTTACAGACATTCATGAGGTTGAAATGTAATGTCAATTATTATTATTATATTACATATAATTTGGTTCACACATTCATGGACTTCACAGGATGAATTGTAATAACTTGGGTGATCCCTAACTTTTCACCAAGCTCCATTATCAGGTCAAAATTTGCAAGTCTTTAATTAATGACCAAGTACTTGCAAAATCAGCCTCAGCTGTACTTTGTGTTTAGTGTTAATTAGCAAATGTTAGTGTGCTAACAAGCTAAACTAAGACGGTGAACATGATAAACACTATAGCATGCTTAACATCAGTTAGCATTGTCATTGTGACTATGTTATTATGCGGACGTTAGCATTTAGCACAAAGTGCCACTGATCCACTAGCATGAGCTGTAGATATTAAAAAGCAGATCAGGCAAGAGTTTGATCACTAAGATGCTCCTTTATTGATTCCACGTAGGTTAAGTTCAAAAGCAGAGTTTTAAAGTTTTAGCAATATTTCACTTATTAGAAAACATCTGCATTTCCGCAAGTTATATCAGGCACATAATGATCTTCCATAAATATATAGTATACTGTATCTACATGTATAGTATGTTTTAAATCAGATTCATGATCAGTGCTATATGATCATACAGAATCTACATATATAAAATATTTGATAAAGCCTGTAATAAATTATCTAACAGTATATATATTTATATATTTGTTAAAATTCAGATTTGTCTGTTTTTAGGTCTTTATTTAAAGAGGTACTGCATTCTAAACCATCCCCTGCTATGAGGTCACCCCACCTTAAGGAGCAGCTGACCTGCCTGTATTTTTTTAGGTTTAATGTAGAGTTTTAGTGTCCCATTTTTAACTGCTGTGTCAGAGGAAACACTGAGCACTGCACTTGTATTTTTAGGGGCGTGAAAATTGCCGTTAACATGCAGAACATCATTACAAAACATAGGCTTACAGTCAGAAATAGTGGTACTGACTTTCATAAAGCCGCACTGGTCAAACCCATGCAAGGTGTATGTTTGTCCGAGCAACAGCGTCTTGATAAATGCGGCATATTTTGTCACAATAGTTAGTCCTGTCTCCTGGTGATATTCATGTACGGTAAAGAAGTGCTGGTGACATAAATAACAACGAGGCACAAGTCGCCCATCATCGCTGTGTGAAACATAAATGTCTGCATATTATTTCTGTTTCTAAAAACCCTGGGTAGATTTAACGAGACAAAAGAGGAGTACAGAAAGAACGAGTACTGAGCCGAGGGTCTCGGGACTCGTCGACAACAATGGAGAGAAAAGAGGGGAGGTTCTGGCTCGGAGAATGCAGCAGTGAGTAGTCTTTGCAGTGTTTTGCACCTCCCTGTTTGCTCTGCCGCTTCAGCCAGCTCTCCCTGCTGCTGGAGTCAGTGTGTGAGAGAGAGAGAAAATGTACGGATATGCAGAAAATAGCCATGCTGTGTTTGTATTATATTTATGTAAAAAGGGACTGTTTCCACTCTTAGTCCCGACCAATGCGACAAACCCCTCCGCCCCTCCCTCCACTCCCCAAATACCCCTGCTGAGATTGGAGTCCCTGTTTTTGTGAAGAAAATAAAGTCTCAAGGTGCAGAAGCTGTTCAGCCACAGTCTCTGTCTCTCTATTCAGGTTTTATCTCTGCTTCGCTCTGCTTGACAAGCCCTTTGTCTTTCTTAACGGAAACACTCACTCCCTAGTTTTTTTACAATTAAAAAATCTAATATTCATCTATTGTCTTTTATTTCGTACCGGTGCACCTATGTGACCCACATCCCACGGTTCCTAGACATACAGCCACTAGCCAGTAGATCAGAATCAGGGACACACAGGGTTAAAAACCAAATGTTTTCCTTCAATTTCTCTCTTTTTCTTTCTACGCCCTGGGGTTTATAGAGCAGAAATAGAGAGGGATAGATATATGAACTGGAAGAGAGTAAGGTACATCATTATGCAGCATTTTCGAGATGGAGAGCAAGAAGACTGTGAAAGCGGCAGCAATTGAAGAGTCTCAAAGACAACGCAAGAAAATAAAGTAGTCTTACACGGAGTGAGAGAAGGACAAATAAGGACAAATAATAGTTTGAATAAGAGAGAAATGGGTAAAAAGACAGACTGTCTGACAAACATATTAAACAAAGGCAGAACGACAAAGAATGAGTCAGATGGATGGACAAACAGGACAGGACAAAGAGAGTAGTCACACAGACAAGCAATTCATGCTGATAGGCAGCCATATTGGGCTCGAGCGCGGAGGTGATGCCTCAGTGTCTGCCATCGTTCCCCTCCACCATCAGAGGGAAAGAGCAGCAGTAAACATTGATCCCTCTGTCAGAAGTTGTTCCCAGAGGCCCCAACCTCCATCCCTCTGTCCTCTCTGATTTGCTGACAGGGATACCACCGTGTATCCAATGAGCCTGACACACCCAGAGTCTGAGGGGACGAACCTCAGCAAAACAAGCAACGTATGGGCGGTGTGAGTGTGAACATATTAGAATTCTGTTATTCTGTTTTTCACCTTCAGATATCATACATCTTAAAGGGGGAAAAACTCCTAACAAAAAGCGTTTTCCTTTTGTCAACAGCTGTTTGCAACAGCTGCTGCATTTCTGCCGAGACAACTAAATGGACCATAAATAGACCTTAAATGGCAAAATATTTCTTAACCGTCCTTGTTCAACTTTGACTAACAACACAGTGTTGTGTGAATTCCTGTACAATGAGGGATCATTACTGACCTCCACTGACCATCTTGACAGTTTGACTGACAGTTTTACCTCCTGATAAAGTGGTTTAGATATTCTGGCTAAACTGTGGGCTTGTCTTCTATGTGATTGTCCCTTGCTTTCATTGTAGCAATGTCATGGTTATCATAATGTGTTATCATAACTGTTAAACAGTGGCTACATCAAACAACAACCCAACTCAAACATTAGTGGTCATTCTTGACCTTAGAAATAGCAGTGTCAAACAATCCCTACTCAAGGTCCAGTTACTAGCTTTTTTTTGGAGCTTTCAACCATATCACATGGCCTTTTTAACAAATGGAGAGTTTGTGCAGTTGATGTAATGAATAGCAGCACTATTTCATATATTTGTATCTGAAATATTGTCTGCCCTTCTAAATTAAAGGGCT